TAACGCAAAAGTCAGCATTTCTCAAAGTCAAACATTTACGCAATTAGCAGCCGGCAAAGGCAACGATCTAACATCATAATGTGACAGTAATTTGTGTTCTAAAACTGAAGCTGAGGGAAACCATGCTACTAGGCCATATGAACAATGGGGCTTATTTCTCTGCCTAAATTCATCATAGTTATTCTGAGAATTTGTTTAAATTCATGTTCATGTTTTCGAAAATTTGCTTTGTGCAAATGATGATAGTTAAGTGAACTCGAATTTTCTTCTGACTCTGCTGAAAATGGCTACATTCAAACATATCTCAATTCCGTAGAAAAAATGCGCCCGATTTGCATCTTGACATCCCCCCTCTTCCCTTCAAGATCTGCATTCGTCCTCCAATAGGAAGCCTTATACTCTCTCCTCTTTTTTATACTGCCAATCGTCTGATAGGAATTGGTCGCGTTCCCTTTTGTGTGCGCGATAAGACGTAATTCGAAAATGGACTCTGTAGGCTTCCTTGATTATTCTTCTTGTGAAAGAAAAATGCAGCTTCAAAACGCTGCAACATATTTTCCTAACGGATGCTTCGCTGTCGGCCAGTTTCGGTGGTCGTCCTACGTTTACCTTTTACCCAATCAGACTGAAGTAAATATCCACTTTTACATAGGCGGCTTATTTCGTTATTTTACTTACTATTAAATGCTATTTCCGGTGAGAATGAGTGCTGAAGGTCGTAATATATGTGTTTCTGCTACAGGAAGAGGGTGGCTATACAGAAACGACGAAATAAATTGTGTGGCTTCCGTTCTTTCTAAATGCGTTTTTAAGATCCCAGGCCCAATTTATTTTAACGAGAATACACGGCTTTTATGTGTTATTGGGATAGTGAGTTTGTTGCGTTACTTAAATGTAAACCAGTGAAAAAAATTGCCCGTTAAAATATGTATTGGTGTTAGTTAAATTAACAATGGTTTGATTGATATAGAAGCAACTTCTGCTCTTTGAGGAGATGCAAAAGCCGATTTTGCGGAAAGCGTTCTTGACTTCTTCCTCCCTGATTCGCAATGAATTTAGATTTTTAATACTGCATCTAGCGGGATATCGTAGGATGATCACACTACCTTCTGTGCCAACCTGCCGTTTATTCTTGGGTTCTCAATCAGACCACCTGACCGAAATCCATTTATAGTCATCTTTTCTGTAGTCGAAACAGAACGAAAAGCTGCCCGGCACCGATATGTCAATGTCATTCACCGACATCTTCAAATTACACCACGAAGTATGATGCCACTACGTTTTGTCTCAAAACTATATTTTGAAGTCCTCGCAGACGCGTTTTCTGATTAGGCGATAGAGGAAGCCAAACTGGCACCATCCCACTTAACCAACTTGCCGGCTAACCTCGTCTATATCCTCTAATCTAAACCTGTCATATGCATGAAATTTGCAGTCTCGCAACGTGGCATTACTTTCAACATGGCAAACGCCACACCTGCAGAGTTGCTCGCCGCTTTTGAATACGTTCTTCAATTTAAAAGGCGTCGACCAAAGCAAAAGGAGTAATCAACCACAAATGCGGATCCTTGCTTCTGTGACGGAAATGCGAGGGCGTTCAAAAGTACAAAAACAAATAAAAAACGTAATCATCCTGCCGCTAACAAAGTTTTTTTTAATAGTAGTACTTAACAGACGTGATTCGAATAAGAAAACACAAAGCCTAGTACATAACCCACAATCTATAAACAGTGTTCAGCCAGAGAGGTTAAAAATATGCTCACTCAACTGCAAAAGTCTGGCAAGATGCCGATCAAACGATGCAATCTTCCCCAGAGATTGATCTCCCAAGAGACCCACTAACACAGCCACAGCGCAACTTTTCGGTATGCCGAAAATGCACAAAGCAAACATATCGCTTAAACCTATCGTTTCCTTCCATTTAATCCTGCATACAGTTTGGCCAGATAAAGGTTGGAGTACATTAATTTTCCTGCAGGAGGTTGTTCTGGATGATCTTTTCCCTGAGCTGATTAAACGTATGAAGCTAGAGATCGATGAATCCTTGGTATTCTTTGATGTCTTTTCATGTTTAACATTTATTCCACAGCAAACTGCGATTGACGTTATGGTACAACATTTGACTGAATACAAGAGCGTTGGGGCTGAGCCCCGAAATGCAAAAAACTACCGGAGCCTCTTTTATATTGCCCATAAACTTACTGTACAGTTGGTGGACAAGTATATAAACAAAGTAGAGGCACCTTCATGGGCTGCCCCTATCAACGCTGATTGCTGAAGTTTTCCTTCACCTGATAGAAAACTTGGTATTCACCAAGTATCAGTCAAGTATCAGTATCAGTC